CTGCACACATGCAAAAACAACAAAAGACACACATAAAGTTAATCTGACATCAGTTTTCAACAATATCATGTCCTATTAAACTTTTGAAAGGCATTTTAGATTGCATGCTACAAACATTAATATAATTTATGAACGCTTGTGTATAAAAGGTGATAAATTTCATTAAGTTACATGGAAAATAAACAAGGCACATTTTCATTTAAAAAACAGGAATTGTAGCTTTTTTCAAACAGTTTTTACTTCTGTTTTCTCTGTATGCTTTAAAAATATATATATATTTTTTACATTTTTCAGTTAACATTGTGTCTGGGTGTTCCCAAGGCAGGGTCTTGGGACCAGTTCTATTTGTTTTATGCTAGAGGTGGGACTTGGATAAAAAATTTTCATTGAGTTAATCCTAATTGTCGGTAATTAATTAAACAAAAATAATTGCCTTTTAGTAAAAATTTTTACTGCTAAATCATTGAATAGACAAGCTAAGCAACAATTTTTTTTGTTTTTCATCTTTAGTCAAATTCTAATAGCAAACTATCTACAAAATGATGATTGAGGCTTTTGAAACAGCCTAACTATACCTAAATTCAAATATACATGTTTAGTTAAAACATGGATCAGATTTATGGGCTAAAAGCCTCCAGTTTCAGACATACTTTGGTGAACGGAGGCGACAATAACCGGCCAACCCTCAATAGTCATTTTTGGGGATTTGGAAGTGAATCACCTGTTTGTCACTAGTCTTTAGGTTTCTAGCTTTTAGTGAATTATCAGCATGAAAAATTAACACCAAGTCATAAAGAAATACTAAAATGTCCTGCTTTTCTCTTAGCCAAATGAAGGGATGTTGTAACTTTTTTGTGTTTTTCCTGCATTTATTTTTTCCTTGGCGCCTTCAAGGTACCACCTTTGGGTCGAAAGCATCCAGTTAATTGAACTTTTCAAGTAACTCAACTTCAATATGGAGTCCTACTTTATAATCATGCTTGCTTACATGCACCGGATACTTTATGCTTCACAGACAGAGAATCATTGATTTCTGCAGGACATTAAGTGCATCCTCCATGGAAAAATAATGCCCCACAAACTATTAATTACGGAGTACTGTGAGCTGGAAAATGGCTGGTAAGTTTTGTACAGTATAAACCAGATGCTTGATGCAGCAAAAAGAGCCGAGCTCTTAAAGCTCTTTAAATCACCAAAATGGTATATCAATGTCCTAATGCATCCACACCCTGAGGGTTGCAAAACCAGGCGTAAACCACACTTTCTTTGTCAGCTTATGGTTTAAGTGTGTTTTAGTCGGTGCTTTACGGCTGAGGATGGAGCTTTTATGGGTCGACCAGCTCCATTTGGCTAACTGCCATCAGCTTCACTAAGAATTAGAAGCGACTGGAGGGGAAAAACTTGCATAATAAATAAAGCAGGTGTGACTGTGCAGATTAATGGTAACTAAAGGTGCATGTTTATATTTTTGTCCTCTGAAGGGTGTTTAACATAATAATAATAATAATAATAATATAATAATAATAATAATAATAATAATAATAATAATAATAATAATAATAATAATAATAATAATAATAATAACAGAGACAGAACTTAGAAATAAAGCAAAAGTAATACTTTGTTCTGGGTTTGAAATTGTGTCCGGTCGTAAAAATAAAATTAAATGGCTCCCCAAATTGCATATATGCAATGCAAAAATGGGATTTTATGATTATGCTACTTTTTCATGACAAACAGCTAAGCAGTTTGGCTGACTGAGAAATAAGTAACTTACGTATGTTTAAGCTGCATTTTAGGACAAATTACACCTCAGGTGTAATGTAATAACCCTTTTTCATTTGAACCAAATCATTTTCCACATCCTGTGGTTCGAATAAAACATTTTCTGAAATATCTGTGGCATTTTACATGCAGAGAAAATGTAAAATTTCTGGAAGAATCACAAATATTATAATGAATCCAATACTTGGCAAATTAAGGTGAATGGAGCAACATAAAAATAGGACAGTGGTACGATGGATGCAAAAAAATACAAACAGAGAATGTGAGAATGAATCTCATGGATATAAATGATCATCTTTTACACAATAGAGTAACACAAGATGCTTTTATTCACTCGCACTCCAACAAGCTTTACCACAAACAGAACAAACTCACAACTGCCATTTCTCACAATGTTTCACTGCTATGGAGGTTAGAGAGACAAAAATCTGTTAACGTGAGAAGAACCAGTGAATCCGTCTACCGTATCACACACACATGCGTACGCACACACACACGCATACACACACACACACACACACACGTGTACACGCACACACACACATGCGTACGCACACACACACGCATACACACACACACACACATGTGTACACACACACACGTCCAGATCAGAATAAGTGGGTCAACTCAGAGCACCAAACGTTCCAGCACACACTGCCACTCGAGACCAACTGTTTTCACAAAAACTGTGGAGTCTGAGATCTCACTTATGTTTTTCCAAAGATGTCGACAACAAAGTGAACCAGAATCCTCTGCTGCATGGAAATTATTTTAAACTGAACCTATTACTCAAAATTTACATTTCGGATGTTTTTGTGCTTCTATTTGGGTTTCTACTGATTCTAAAAATGGACCAAGTACTTAAAAAAACACACAGTTTTGTTGGCAACAAGTTAATGTATTTTGTTGTCTGGAAAATTAGCCAATTCAAATCAGCAGGGATTGCCCGTTACCTAGCAACCCCACCAGAGTTCCGCCCGTTACCTAGCAACCCCACCAGAGTTCCGCCCGTTACCTAGCAACCCCACCAGAGTTCCGCCCGTTACCTAGCAACCCCACCAGAGTTCCGCCCGTTGCCTAGCAACCCCACCAGAGTTCCGCCCGTTGCCTAGCAACCCCAGTGAACCCCAGCGGGAAGCAACTGTACATTAAATTCACCCAAATAAATTTTGGGCAGTAGGTAAAATTAAAAATTAATAGATTGGAGAAAATTTACACAACAAAATCCAAATTCTGCATCCATTACTTGCTTTTGTAAAACATATATGATTACGATAATGTATGATTTGATTTGATATTTATCTCACAGGCAAAAGCCATGAGAATATATACATAAAGAGAATATTGATACAAAATTTGGGCTTATCATGGGTGGATGTCTAAATCTGACTCAACTGAAACAAATAGTTACTTTTGAAATGAGGTATTTTCTTTTTTCCGTGACAATAACTGCATGTTCAGGCAGAAAAACTCCTAAATACAAAAGGGTAATTATATGTTGTATCAGCACAATACCAGTCAATGCAGCAACACTCTTTAAGGCTCTTTTTTACTAGCAATCTGTTACAAAAACACAAGTAAGAGACAGAAATTGTAGCTCCAACAAGGTGATTCCCTGAGACAATCAATCCCAATTTAGTTCTATTTCACAAGAAAGTCACTATTTTCTGGAGCTAGTCTTCTGAGAACTGATACGGCTTTCAAAACAGTTTGGCTTTTTTCCACAATAGACTGCAGGAAGTAAACTTCTGCAGCCATATATTAGTGTTGATATTATTCAGTTAACAGTAATGCACATTTAAGTGTTTCTGCTCTGGATTTATGTCTTTAGCTTGTGACAATATGTGAAGGAGGCGGACGCATCCTTTTAATAGAGCTGAAAAGCTATTATATACGGCGTAGGAGGCCAGCTTAAAGGAAAACACAGATATGCACACCTGAACAAAGGAAATGATGCTGTCTCCAGGTCCTGGGGAATATATGCTCCATACCTTGGCATCATCTTCCCACTTGGGATCATATAGGATGTGATATTTTTAAACAGCAGCAGGTTCAGGTCTATGATCAAGAGAAAATATGGATTTCTCTTTTCTGTTTTCTATCTGAAAGTTTTCAGCTGGAGTTAGAAGTATGCACCAATCCACTTTTTTCACTTCGATACAATATCTGAGTTTTAGTATCGGCTGAAACCATTACAATAAAGAAAATTGACTGAAAATGTGTATTTTTTCTAATCTTTAGAAATTAATTAGAAAACTCTGCAGCAGTACAGCACACTGAAATACATCTTCACAAACTTGGTCAAACATGTAAAAACACCTTTAGTTTGTTCAGTCAGTGCAGTCAGGAGTAAAACAAACATGTAAAATAAATAATAAAGGAACTGTGTCAAAAACAACAGATTCACTACTGCATTGGTCAAATATTTAAAACAACCAAGCAAACCTTCTTTCAAATGGGTCAGAAAGGGCAATTAGGAAATCTAAATATCATGTAAATGAGTCAGAAAACATTTCTTTATATCCATCTCAAAAAACAATCAAACTTGTTGGAATCTTGAAGTCTTCTGCCTTTGGCTTTGATTGTTTGAGAATAAAACTGATGACATTTTCCAATGGCACTTTAAAAATCAAACTAAGAAAGTCTTTCCTAGTGTCTGAAAACAAACTCAGATTGGATGAACCAGAGAAGGAAGCCAAGCGTGAGCGAAACCAGAAAGTACTGAAAATCTTCAGCTGCTGGACGGACACGACTTCTTTCTATCTGGATAAAAAACGACCCCATTGTTGGGTAAACTGGCTCATCTTCCTCATCATCGCCATCGCATAATTTATGCCGAAGGGAATCGACGAACCCCAACACAAATATCTCTCTGGTCTTCGGTCCATTTAGTGCACCCGATTCCCCCCTGAGGTGCCTCACACCCCATATGTTCTGCGTCCTGAATGGCTAATGGCCCTGCAGGATCATCATCATCAGCAGCAGGAACAGAACAGAGAGCTGGGCTGAATATATCATAACACATTGGTGAAAAAAAGCTAAGAGTCAAATTCAGCATCAGTAACTAGTTTGTTTGGTCACATTTGAGGTCAAACAGGTAAAATTCTTCATCTTTCATTGCTAAAGTCTTCAGATCTGTTATTGTTTGGTCTCATCCCTGCACAAATATTAACACCACTAGGAAAATGTGTTCAATATTGCTGAAATCCATGAAC